ATGATGATGACAATGAGACAGTTCTGATAAATATGATGACGATGATAAAGGCAAAGACAGCGATGGTAATAATTCCGACGACGATGACGATGATAAGATGTTTATCATGGTGAGCCGTCACAATGACGCTGAATAAAATAGATGGCGCTGATAAAGATCATTTCGGTGACGTCATTTCTGATGTCCGTCAGTTCAGTTCATATTTTAAAAAGTGGAATTCTGAATATTCTTATTTATCTACATACAACTTCTTGATGTTGTGGTTTTCATATTTTAGTTCTGTGATTTTATTTTTATTTTATCTCAGTTTACACATGCACATGTGCACTATGCTGTTGCTCTTCTCTCCTATCTATATAACATTCTCCAATAAAAGCTTTACGCTCCTTTTTGCACTGATTCGTGCATTTTATTTTATGATCTCGATAAAACATTCCATAAAATTTTTGCAATTTTTAGCGAATTATTTATTTCAAAAAATTAAAAAAGTAATTTTTGAGTTTATTAAACAAAACGCATAATGTTGACTTTCAATTTGAGGCAGAACGCAATATTAATTACCATTATGACCGGCTTTGTTGTTCGCTTTTTTAAAAAAGAAACGCCATAATAATAACAACAGTCATATAATGTAAATAATAATAACATAATATTAATAATAATAACAAAATGCATGTATCTCATGTACAATAGAGTGGAATAAAACAGAACAAAATGAATCATTATAGAAATGGACATTATTGCACCACATACATGCGTGCATACATTCATGGTCATCATGCACTTTTATTTCTTTCACATCAAAAGATGACCACGTGTAAACTGAAAATTAACATTGTCCAACTGTCTGTACACATGTGCCTTCCTTTCATTTGCCACTTTTCGTTTTTAATTTTGAAGCCTTTGTTGGTATCTTCATGTTCTTAAGTTTTTGATGCATTAATGGGTATGAAAGCAGAAAAAAATATGCGAAAAGTTTGTATGATACTTAGAACTTGCATGAATTTGTATGAAGTTGTGTCTGTACGTACATCAGTTTATGAACGTGGATGAACGAGTGTCTCTTTTTACAGTGTCTGTACGTACATCAGTTTATGAACGTGGATGAACGAGTGTCTCTTTTTACAGTTCTGAGTTTTTCTAAGTTTTTAAAATTTTTATTATACAAAATTTGAGAACCGTGTTGAAGGTTTGTATTGTTTTAACTAGGACTATTTTTAAATATAATAGTATATATTTTTTTTTATTTATTTATGTAAAAATCATTTTAAGTGAATGTATAATTTTACTTTTCATCATTTTTTTTTAAATAATTGAGGTGTGAAGTAACTTCTGATGTTTCGTGAAATAAAAATTGAAAATTTTAAACAAAACACGTTAAAATATTTCAAGTGTCATGAATGAAAAAAAAGACCTATACAGTTTGTGTTTATGCTGGCCAGTACAAACAACCGTATCGTAACTTTTAAGAAACAAGCTGACCCGTCAACATAGCGCACGGCAAAGAACTCTGACTAAATGGCGTGTAACAGCGACAAAATGTCCCATGACAAAATGGCGAATGTCAAAATCGCTCAATATCACATATTTTCATCACTTATTAAATGTCAATTTTATAATTGAAATTGTATAATTTAAATGCGCTGACACGAAATCATAAAAATAATTGTTTTAAATAATTATTTTTTAAACTTTGAGATAAAACTGTAAAAATGGCATGTCAAAAATAAGTTGAAAGGCGAGTCAGAATGCAATAAGCACCGTATTTCCAGCCTGCAAACTATTTGGTTGTTTATTCCACCTTGGACAATGCCTCGGGCGTAAAATGCAAAATGAAAATTTTACTACTACTGCATATACTGCATATTAAAGAAATGAAAACATACAATTATTTGTAGGAATGCTGCTAGTTCTTTCATTTGTTCTACTACTGCATCAAGTCATCACTGTATTTGAAGAGCTAAGTAAAGCTTGCCCAGATGTTGTTGAAAAGTGTACGAATACTGAGAAGATATTTATACTGGCCGTGGTAGTAAAAAAACTAAATCGCCAAGCGATCCCAAGATTTCCAGTGACATTTGGGAATGTTCGCGATTGGGTGCAAGAGAACCTGCAACGAACAAATAACTCAGTAGAGGGATGGCATCATGCATTTCAGCATTCTGTTGATTGTCCCCATCCGAATGTTTACAGGTTTATTGATCACTTCCGCAAAGAACAAGAGTTCACCGAAAACAACATTGCTTAGTACAATGCAGGGGAACGAAACAAAGCTGCCAGCAAATCCAAATATGTCAAACTGGACAAACGTCTAACAACAATATTGCCAACTTATTACACCATATCACGAATGGAATTTTCACGTCACGTTGCATATAATTTGACTTTTTAATTTACATTTTTAAGACCTCTCCCAAATTTGTTTATTAATATAATAACGTTCATCATTTGGTTAAACTTTGTTTCATCATTGTTTTATTTTAATTTATTTTAAAAAATCTAGCTAATATCTAATGAATTTGTTAAGATTTGCAAGCTTATTTATAAAATGAAGCATTTATTTTTTCAAAATTTTACCAACAATGCCGGGTTGCGTTATTTCTTCAGCTTTTTGTTTTTACGCTATTTCGTCCTGGGCGATTTTTTCGGCGCGGTTTTGTCGGCGCCATTTTGTCATGCGCTGTTTTGTTGGTGAACCAAGAAACAAATGTAATAAATTCAACAGATAAATTTTATAAAATCTTATGAACAATTTTTTTTCAGTATATAAAGAAGTTATTAAGTATATATTTGTATATATTTCAAAAATTTATATGAATTATTTGTAAGGTTGGAAAGAATTGTGATAGGTCACAATCTTAAATTTTTCGCATCAACATTAAAAATTATGAACTAGAATTTTTTGCTTATGTCAGACAGTTTATGATGTTCATCTGATTCAGTCGGTTCCATCCATGTTTTCTGCTGTTGTAGCCTTTTAACGATGATGAAGTCTTTTTTTCATTTGTACCTGGTAGTGAATCTATTTATGCAGTAACTTCACTTGCATAGTTTGCTTCTGAAATTGTAAATTGAAATGAAATAGTTGCTGCAGCATTTTTCAAACTACTATAATAAAAAATTTTTTTTGGAAATGTTGAAATATTCATCAAATTTAACTTCACCAAAACTCAGTGTTGCATTAAAGATCTAAAAATGAAATAACGCAGAAAACAACTTGCACGCTTCGTGAATTGATTTTATACGTTTGTCAGTTCATTATACCACAGATCTGGCAAGTATAAATGGTCGAATTAATTGCTAATAAATTTATTATGGAAACTTTAAATAAAAAGAATATAAACCGCAAAATATAAAAAGTAAAAGTTGGCATTTTTAAATGCAGTCACTATTGGCACACCGACAACATCATCAGTTATTCACAATTTGTTTTATTTTTGTTAAAATTCACAATTTCATGTACCAATCCACTTCCACATTATAAAAATTAAGATACTTTTCAGAAAAAAAATGCTTGAAGGTATCGTGGATACATCAATGAATTTCACTGTTGTTAAATTCTAAGATCCACATATAAATTTGGGGTTAATGGTTTGAATGAGACAATGATATGTTCTTTCAAACTTGATAATGTGCATTATTATTCTAATTTAATTTAATTAATTGTCAAAACAAAATAATTTCTAACAAAAACAATGATTTCGAGTCCATGCAGACTGGTCAAATTTAATATGGATGTGTTTTATTTATTTATATAGGTAGCAAAATGTATAATTTAGTTAGAAGGCGTGCGAATACAAACGCTAACGGAATTAGCGGAGTAGCCAGAGCGCGTGCACATAAATAATTCGACAATTGAGATAAATGTTTCCATCCTTGAAAATTATTTCATATATACTACCAAGAACCATATAGGTACATTTTCAATGTTTTTGCTCTTCTGTTGTTATTATAAACAATTTCATATTGTGAGTTTGTGATCGGAAAAATTGTTAATGGGACTGTTTAAAAAAACTGTTTCTAAATTTTTATTAAAAAAAAACGATCTTCAACACTAGTTATCAACAGCATTATTTTACGGCAACACTTCGTCGTTGTTTGCGTTTAGTAAAAATAGGAATCCGTGGCAGTATCGATAATTTCATGGAAACAAAAAATTTTTGAAGACTGACACCCGCTCCGAATCCATTACGTAAGGTCTGTAATTATGTTCATGCTCAATTATTTATCGCATCAGTTACCTCTCTTCTTTGATCATAATGTGGGAACTGAAAGTCAGAGTTTTGAAAGAAAAACTGTTTTTTTTTCATTTTTGATAACTTTCAGACAAAATATTTCAATCATTTTTCAACGTTGTTCATTAAGTTGCCTGCAATTCGTACTGTTGTTGGATGTTTTGGCGGATGTTGTGATAGTGAGAACGTGGACGATTTTGACTACCGTAATTAATTTACTCCAGTTTAATGTTTGAAGTTGCAGCTGGGAAAACATGCTCCAACCAGCATCCCATTAAAGCCGACCAGCTTAACATGCGAATGTGATAGCACCGTCAAGCAACTGCACCAGCATTGAAACTATAAATAAAATATAAATTGGAAAACGTACAAATAATCTACAATAAACGTGATTAGTTAAAATTTATTGTTTACAAGGGAAAAGGCAAATGTAGGAATGTACTTGCTTGTGTTGTGCTTGTTGTGATGGGATGCTAGCAATGGTTTTATTCATTGAGGAATTTTTTTGACGCTATGTGTTCAAATCGCTTTTTAAATTAACTACATTACATATTTTTTATAATTTTAATTTAAATTTACTTTTATATAATTTAATTTTGAATTTAGTATGAATTTCTATTTTCAAACTACAAATCCATAAAGAATTATCGGCAACAGCATTTGGCAGGGTACTTATTGACTGACCGTCGACGAGTATGCAATGATGGCCGTGATGATTAAACACAAACGACGGCCAAACATTTAATAATGAACATTTATTTGCAGAAGACCGCAAGTTATTCATTGGAATGTTGAGCAAACAGCAGACAGAAGATGATCTGAGAAACCTCTTGAAAGCATTTGGTTCCATTGAGGAGTGCACCGTCCTCAGAGATGTCAACGGAAACAGCAAAGGTTACATCATTATTACTTTTTATCACTTTTACTTTTTATCGTTCTACTTTTTCATTACTTACTTTTGTAATATTTAATTAAATACTTCTACAAATTTGTATTAAAAAGATTAATAAGACGTACGTTAGCCAGCGTCACCAATATATCTTCTATGTACTTGCACTTTATAGTCAGTCATCGGTTATATCACATTAATTACTGATTGAAAATAGGCTGGCTGAATATTATTTAAGTTTTTTAATTCTGAAGGCAATAACTTTCATCAGACATTTACTACTTATCTTTTGAAGTTTAATTAGATTTGAAAAAATTTTTTTATAATATTCAAAGGAAATTAATCTGTTTTGCTTTTTTAGCTGAAATTAACAAAATATTTTTCTTCTTCACATAAACGAGGTCGGTTTGAATTGCGGAAATTAAATTTCACTCCTATTCACCATAAATGGTGATAACATAACCAGATGTTATTTTGATTTGAGTGCATGCATTTAAAATTCAAATAAATTTCATCTTCAATGGACACCAACTTTTTTGAGAAAATTACAAATAATAAAGCAAAATAAATAACAACTCAGAAAGCACGTAGTACCAGTAGGCCTACAAACACTGACGTCGCTCGGGCAAGTAACTTTTCATCACTGATACAACAACTAAATAAAAATACATTAAGTGACTTATTAATTAACTAATCAATTAACTCATTGACTAATAAATCAAAATTATTAAAAGTATAATTACTTATCTTTTAAAATAAATTTGCAAAAAGAGAGCTTGGCGACGAGGATGATGAGTGCATGAATGAACGCATATTTAGCGTGTCAAATGAGGAATGGAATGTAAATAAATAATCCTTTTGCTAATCCGTGCTATGCAAGCAGTCACCCAGAGATTAACGTCGTTCTTCTATGTTGATGGAATTAAAAGATGTATGCATGTACGTACAGATGGATCCATGTACAGTACACGTGTCTATATCTACAGTTTAATTCATGTATCTACAATTAGATGAATGTATCTATGTATTTATGTATATATTTAGGCGTCTACAGATGTGTGCATGTATGTGTGCTCTGTACAGTTATGCACATGAGCGTACATATACGTACATGCATTAGACATTTGTAGATAATCATCATTCTCATCTTCATCATCGTCATTGTGTTTAAACCCTTAGTTCATACTTGGATGATCCGCAAATTTTTTCAAAACGGCAATGTCGCCTCAGCTCTGCTTACTTTTTAACAATTTATTATAACCATAAAATACCCCTTAGGTCGGGACACAGACCAACGCCAGCTGGTTAAAAAATCATTACTCCTATATATGATGACCTCAGATAGTTTTTTTTCAGTTTTTTTTATTCTATGTTCCTTTTTTTGTTCGAATTTTCATATTTTAATGCCATCTCATTTGGGCGGCCCAACAAGCACTGCTTTGAGTTAGCGGATTTCATTGCAAGTAAAATTTTGATAAAATTTATTACCTTTGTATAAATAGTACAAATAGGAGTGAGTCTTTTCATTTTAACGCCCGTTCTTATATTTCAAAACCTGAGCATTATATACAAATATAAATATAAGTGAACTTATAAGCAATGTACCTCTTTTGTCTTTCTCTCTCTCTTTCTGTTTTTGTCCTTTTTCCTCTCTCTTTTTTTCGTTTTCTCTTTATTTAACTCATTTTCTGTGAGTGTATTTTGAAAAATTTTCTTTAGCAACCTAAATTTGAAGTTGAAATTTTAAACCAGCTTGAAGTTTTCTAATCTTTTCATTATCGTTTGTTTTTTTAATACGTTATCTTCAAAAGAAAAATATGTTTCAGAAATAAATTGTATTAAATGTTTAAGTTCTAAGATTTTTTGCGTAGATTTATAAATTCTGCGAATGTTTTGGCTTAGATATATGTCACATCTTTGTGCTCATTTTTTGGTATTTTTATATAGCAGCTGAAAATCATATTCGTTTTTTTCTACAAAAAATTCACAATTCAAGATAATTGTGAAGTATTTTGACATTTTCAGATTAATAAATTTATAACATTATATATGTTAAAAAATATAAACTGTCGTAAATAATTGAAATTAAAACAGTCCCCGAAATGATTCAAATCATTGAATACCTACAAAAATAATTATAACCACCATCATCTAATAATTTGGCGTCTTATTCATTAAACTACATCTCATTTACTAAACATATTAGTCCACACACACACACAAACACACACACACACAAACACACACACACACTGACAAACAGACAAACACATACACCCATTCACACCGGTATTATAAATTAGTTCACACAATTCAACTCCTCTCTTACTTTCCAGGAAACTCAAAATCTGAGCTAAATTTCTTCCAGTTGGCAATTTGCGTATTCTGTGTCTGTTGTTATTTCAATTGATTTTAACATTTTACTCGGTCAGTTAATTGTCTGTCTTCCTGTTAATTTTTTTCTATGTTTGTCTGTTTGATAACCTTAATCTAATGGTTGTTTTATTTTGTATTGTAATTACTTTTAATTTACATTATTGGCATGTATTTGCGTACACATATATGGCAAGCCTTGGATTACTATGTAAAGTATAGTAATTATATAATATATAAAGATAGATTGTGAGTGTATTTTGCTCAGAGTTGGAGACCTTTCCCATTTGACTGGACCATAAGTGATTGTAGGATTGTTTTTGGTAGGTATTCATTTTTTCCATGTTCAAATCATTTGGTCTTTTTCTATTTCAACAACATGATTTGAAGAGCAACATAATTTCAACAATTGTTTCAAGTCGCACAAGTAAAAACCATCAGGAGTCGAAAAAAATGTTGTTCACTTTTCGCCATTTTTGAGAAAATTTATATTTCTTCTTCAAGTTAATTTTTAGTTTTTACCACAATTTTCATTAAGAATTATGCGACTTGTCATTACAATGCATTATTATATTATTTTTATATTATTGTTATTATTATATATGGCTCGTTTTTGTCCCGAAAGACAATGGATGCGCTCTTTATGATTCCTTTTAATTAATTGCATAATCTTTTGTGAAGCAAGGCACAAAGACCTAACCCACCGTCAGAAACAACCTATGGCGTCCATACCTTGCACCAACGAGTCTGGAGTTATAATCCGTAACTCCTGCCTCTCAAGTTGTTTCAGTCGCAAAATCGTAGCTTCAGAGTTTTCTCTCCGGGACGCATTCTTGCCTGCCCATGCATCATGATTCCTCTCTCAAACTGGAAGATGTAATCCAAAGGTATGTTATGCATTACGTTTGGCACCGACCTGGTTACACTAAGTAATGCCAGCGTCTGAAGTGTACCATCCCTGATATATTACTTTTCAGGTTTACTTCTTTGAAGCCACAAGGTAGTGGATCTAGGGAATCGAAAGCATGCTACATTTATGTATTGCCAGTTTACGTTCCTATTTAGAGAGGCTTTGAATGATATTATTATAAAAATATGAAGAATGGGACAATTTTATAAATTGTATCAAATTCAAAAGTTAATGTGATTTCTTGAATAAATTTGCTTTTGGATAACAATCAACATATTATACAGAGGAATTATTTATAAACGGTAACGCATACAAAATGTTACTATATTTACTGGAAAAAATTTTGAATGAAAAATTGGAGATAAACAAAGCCATTTGTTGTCTGGTCATTGAAAGTTTGTCAATGGACCTACCATCAATTTTGATTTGTTGCCGCACCAAGAGTCAATTTATTATTGACTTCCTTTTAAGCAAAAAATAAACCTCCAAACATTTGCATAAAATTTGATTAAAATTTTTTCGAAGTTGTTAAAATGGATTCACCGGGCTTCATACGGGATATTAACATTTTTATTGGATTTTCTTTTTCTAATATTATTATTTATTCTTTCAATAAACATATTTTCAAAATTTAATCATAGATTTTAAATTCACGACAGTAACTTTAATGTCTGCAAAAAAAGTTTCAATGAAAGAAGCTTGATTGAATGATTGAGATTGGTTAATTTTATGATTGTTGGGCGGGTAGGTAGGTAGGTAGGTGAGTGGGTAGGTAGGTAGGTAGGTAGGTCACCATAGAATTGTTGTTGTTGCTTTGGTGTGATGGATGGTCTCTCTGTAATTGTTGCTTCTGGCTCTAATGTTTCTTGATGGATTGATGGTGATGATGATTATGACGATGATGATGGTAACAATAATGATAATGCTGTTGTTGTTGTTAATAATGATGATGAGGATAATAGTGGGGAGGAAGATGAAGATGATGATGACGTTGATGATGATGAAGAAGAGGAAGATAACGATGACGATGACAACGATGATGACGATGAGTGAGATAATGAAGCTGATGAAAAAGTAGAAGAAGAGTGATAAAATGAATGTGATGATGATGAGTATGATAGGCAAATTCTAGGCTTGCAGTAGCGTTGTAATTCTCACATCAATTGATCGCGACAATGTTGTCGATGTAGTGCAAGTATCATTAAAATGATATCTCAATGACGATATCATCCTGATCGTGATGACATTTTTGTTGTTTTCATTGATAATTCTTTTTATTCATCTTTTGCTTCTATGTCATCACGTTTATTCTCTATTATTTGTAAGTACATAGTTGTAGCATTATTATTATTATCATTATTATTATTTATTTGGAGTTAGAAAATAAAAGGATGTTCCCATTATTATTATTATTATTGTTGTTGTTGTTGTTATTATTATTATTATTATTATTATTATTATTAGTAGTAGTAGTAGTAGTAGTAGTAGTAGTAGTAGTAGTAGTAGTAGTAGTAGTAGTAGTAGTAGTAGTAGTGGTAGTGGTAAGTAGTAGTAGTAGTAGAAGTAGTAGTTGTAGTAATAGTAGTTCGACCAAACAATGTGTTAGGAATGTATAAATTAAAAACAATGCCATGAAAATTGTAAAGGATGAGCTGGATGAAGAAGTTTGAATATTCGTTGAACCGTTCATAATGCATTTTGTAGTCTGAAAAATTGTTGAACTGTTGGGACTGTAAACTTTTGAAATATTTTAAGATTGTGGAATCTCTGAGCTTAAATTAACCAAGATACTTGATAAAACGTTTCCTTCAAATCGAAATACCACGACGATTTTTGACAAAGGCATTTATTTCTTCAGTGAAACATATTTCTAGGGCAATTAATATATAGAAGCTAAAATGGTAAGTAAATGTGCTACCGCGTTCAGCGAACTTGATCAAACGCTATTTTACGAATTAGGAAAACAGACACATTTCTTCAAACTCATGTCATGGTCCACATCGCTGCTTCGAAGATGTTTTTATCTTCGAACTTTTTTATTGTATTTTATTTGCACAGACGTTTGAAAAATGTTCTTCATTCAAAATAATTTTTGAACACAATTTTTTACATTTCGGATTTTTCCAAAGAAAGGGGTTAAATGTGACGTGCTGCTTGCGTCATCATGGATGTGTGTGTGTGTGTGTGTGTGTGTGTGTGTGTGTGTGTGTGTGTGTGTGTGTGTGTGTGTGTGTGTGTGTGTGTAAAGTACATTTGCGTTATGAAGAAGGAAGGTTAAAAAATCATTGCGAATATCTCACATATAATTTTAAATACATGTACAATAAACAAAGTTTATAGATAAAAGTGTTTCATAAATCACAAAATGTGTCATAAATATAACGATATCTATTTAATAACTTATTTATTTACAATTCATGAAACGGTTTACAAAAGTTAAATTATAAGAGGAGAAAGAAAACGAAAGCAAAGGTAGAGGTAGGCAGCGATATTTCACTTTCAAACGTTTGTTTATGCGCCTGACGTGTTGTGCGCAGTTTCTGGCAGGTAGGAATAAAATATTTTTCCCCCTACCTCCACCTTGCAAGCTGTTCAGCTGGTTCGTCGGTTGGTGCATGCTTGGGTGCGTGAGTGCTACGTGTTGATCAACTTTTCCCAATCAGGCATACTAAACTTCGTTGTGTGTTCATCAGGGATTTTTATAACAATCAAGTTTTATCATATTCAAGTTTATTACTTGCAACGATTGAAATAAAACAAAAATTATTTATGAGCTTCATTCAAATAAAATAAATTTTGTTTGCATATTATTGAAATTAATATATATTTAAAAACAGGTACAGTCATAGGCGTCATGTTAAACACTGTTATTACCATCATTATCATCATCATCATCATCATCATCATCATCATCATCATCATCATCATCATCATCATCATTGCTATCGTCGTCATCATCATCATTACCTGTCTCAATTTGTCATCATGAGCAAGCACATTTGTGTACACATGGGTTTAATGTAATCTGAAACGGATCAAGTTCATCATGTTGTCATTTAATGGACCACCTTCAATAATAAATATGCTTATTTATAACAGAATGCTGCCTGCATGTTTGTTTGTTTGTTCGTTTGTCTGTTTGTTCGTTTGCTTGTCTGTTTGTTCGCTGTTTGCCTGTTGTCTTTGTTTGCCTGTTTGTTTTTTTTGTGCATGCATGGTCTACCCATACCTACCTACAATCATGGATAAGTACAAAATAAACATATTTGAAATTGAAACGCAAAGTAAACAGCAGAGTTTGCATGTTTGTGTGTATTGTTTTATGTGTGCGTGTGTGTGTGTGTGTGTGGGTGTGGTGTATTTTTGGGAAAATTAATCTTGTCGGTATTTATAGAAAATTTTGATTAATAATAACGACGACAATGATGACGATGATCTATGATTAATAATAATTATATAAATGACATTAATTTATACAAACTGAACTAATCACTGGCAGAGGCGTCATTTGGGGGGAGGCAGGGGGGGCAATTGCCCCCCCAAGAAAAATTATAAAAATATTAAAATTATAAATTATAAAAGTGTTAATTTTAAATTCTTTGTAAAAAGGATATATATAGGATATATAATTTAGTAATTTTAAAACTTTAAAAATTTTGAAATTTTAAAAACTTTAAAAATGTAAAATTTATTATAATGTTGCACTGACGAGACTAGGTAGTCGAAATAGTACTATATGCATACATGTAGATAATGACATCTTCTGTAA